ATATAAGAAAGATAGATAGAAACAAGTTACAAAACAAGACGGTAGAATTTGGTGATGGACACGCCATTGTGTTGGATTGCATCGAAAGTAATGGTAGAAGATTGTTAAAAGTTGATGGAATCCTAAACATAGTTTACTACGGTTTTATCTTCTGCTAGCCTACGAAGATGGAGACATTTTTCAGTATGACGATGCTTTTTGTTAGACATCACGATTGAAGATCTTTCTTGTGGCTGAAGACAGGCGTGCACAAAGTCCTGATCCCAATATAATTGGACTGTTGGGTGGGAAGTGAAGAAAAAAGAGCTCCAACGGAAACCACGCAATCTCCAACAGGATTGGGATATCGATCATCTTGGGTAAGAATTCATAATTCGAATATCTGGACATTGTTCCATTCAATGCCATAATGAATTGAGGCAAATATTCGATCCAGAAACACTTAGGACTAACTCCATTTTGCTTTTTGTCATTTCTGCAATAATAAAGATCACTTTTTGCAAAACCATCCTTTTTAACTTAAGAGCTATAATTGAAACATTTATTGGTGGCTCAATATTACTCCATTGCAATATACAGCATCGATATGCTTAAGATGATCTATCATTTACCATAGAGCAATACCACAAATGCAGTAACTTGTTTCATAGCTTTCAAAAATAATAAACTGTACACTGAGAAAAGCATGCTGCGAATTACGCTCGATTTAGGGGCGCAATAACCAGAAGTAATTAATGTAACAAGGTGGCCAAAAAGATGTGCACGACACTGTATAATTACTATAAATAATTAAATCGAAAACCGGCGATAAAAAAGGCACAAATCTTAACTGCTTTGCATGGGTGCCTTGTCACAGATCGAGAAAGCACTAATATATATATATATATATATATATATATATATATATATATATATATATATATATATATATAAAATAAAGACAGGATGTTATATCTATATTAAATATATAATGGTTGATGGCATTCAGGCCAAGAAGTCACTCCTTCGGCTTACAGAGATAAAGATGGAAAGACTTAATATATATATATATATATATATATATATATATATATATATATATATATATATATATAGTCACTAAGATATTTACATGCATATCCCTTGATTGTAAAACCTGAAATACTGATGGTTATTAAAGGAATGCTCAATGACCGACTTTTCCTTTGTGAATATTGGCTGGTATATATGTGATTAATTCTTAATTCCATCCGCTGATCCGTTCTGCCTTTGTAGTTAACGTAATTACACACACACACGAGTGTGTACACACACACACATATATATATATATATATATATATATATATATATATATATATATATATATATATAATTGTGCAATCCCGTTTTTATACAATTTTCTTTAAAATAACTGACAAGACGTTTAAGCGTCTTATGTTCATATGAGTGTTTTTATGATCTGGACATAAGGTGTGTAAACATGTTCCGTATGTTTTGTATTTTCTAGCGTTTTCGGCTATTCTGTTAGTTGCTATCATTTTTTAAAAATTATCAACTGAATTTGTACATTTTTTTTTTTTTTTATTTGTATCTTTAGCGTATGTTCATTTGATTTGTTCCTTTTTTTTTTTATCAAATGACATTATATTTAATCTTTTTTATTTTGATCCGTGTTCATATTTTTTTGTTATTATTGGCGTTTTGGTTCTTTTGACATGAGTCCTATTTGATCTATGGTTTTTTATTATAGCCATGATTCAATTAATTATTTAATCTTTTCAGGAACATGTGGATGAAGGGCATTTGATTTAAAAAATGATTGTTTTTCTGTTTTGAACGAGTTTTGTTATTACAGATGTTTTAATTTTGTGGTAGGTTCTAATTTATCTTTTGTGTGGGGTTGTGTATTTTATATAATGTTCCTCAGAGAAAATTTTAATTTTAAAACAAGTATCATAACATTCCAATGAACTTTTTAAAATTTGTTATCTATGCCATTTATATTATTAACTTTACTAATTTACTTTTTTGATGTATTTATTGAATCTATATATATATAGCCATATATATGTAAATGCAATATAATTATTCACAAAATTTAATGATCGTTTGATACAGGAAATATTAAAACCTACGAGATTTATTTTAAAATTAACACAGAAAATGTACAATAAAAGGGTTGTATAAAAAAGGAACGAGTTGGGACACACGTTGTTTACACGAAGAAGGCTTATGGGACCCGATGCAAAGTGCCCCACTCCAGAAAACCAGGGGAAGATCAACATTATTAAAACCCTCCTACATAGAACATTAAAGATCTGCTCTGAGCCTTTCTTGAACGACGAAATCGACTTTATTAAGGATACCCTATGTAATTTGGGTTATCCTCTTGATACTGTTAATTCAGTTATCCGCAGTAAAGTTGAAGAGTTCAGAAGTGCCGAGCTCTATACTGTTAAAAAATGCCCAGTTTACCTCAGATTACCTTGGATTAGTACCAAATGTGAAAAATAGCTAAACAAATTTCATCCAATTTTCGTCGTTTTCGTTCTCTGCTGAAGTTCGGATTATTTTTCAAACTCGGCCTGTTTCGTTCTGCTTGTAAAGAAGTTCTCCCTCCCCATCAAATTAATTCAATTATTTATAAATAAGTTTGTAGTTGCGGAGCCGACTACATAGGGAGAACAACTCAACGCTTAGACATGAGAATAAAACAACACGTTCCTACAAAAATTAGAAATCACACCTTGCCGTTGAATGGACTCGTCCCGAACACCTATGGTTCCGCCATATGCGAACTCCTATTAAAGAACAGAGATTGTGCGGCCAAATTTAGGGTTGACTGGTTCAGCCTGAAGTCGGACGACCGGCTGAGTGGCTGATCGGTTGAACTCTCTGCCTTCGGGCGGGGAGGAACCTGAACGAGTCTACGCCGAAGGGCGGAGTGTCTTTCGGGGAGGTAAACCGACCCTGAACCCGTTTATACGGTTCAAAGGGCATATTTTAGGCCGAGCCCACGGGCTCGGAGATCCCAAGTTAAATGGGCCTTGTTCCACATGATACCCTCGTGAGGGGTGGTGACTAAATACTAGTGCTGACTGGTTCAACGTGTTGTCCCGGTTACACTCTTTATTTCATCTAAAGGTGTAAACAACGTGAGTGTTTGTTGGGGCTCGCTGTCATTTGTCTCTAGTTCCTTTTGCTATTTTATTTTATTTTATATTTTTTCTCCTCCCACAACTTCCTTTTATTGTACATTTTTCTGTGTTAATTTTAAATTAAATCTCGCGTTGAAGCCTGAAGAGCGGGAGCGAGACCGGTTGCTTCGCCCGTTTTTAATATGTCTCGTAATATTAAGTTTTATACTTTTATTTCGATCACACACACACACACACACACACACACATATATATATATATATATATATATATATATGAGTGTGTTAAAAGCTTCTCTACCCGATCGAAAAGGCATTTTTTAACAAATGATTTGTTCCATTAAAATGGAAAGGCCGATAACGTGAAGTTGTATGTGGATATAAACTGTTCTATTTTTCTGTCTGTCTGTGTGCCTATCTATCTATCTATCTATCTATCTATCTGGTGATTGCAAACATTTCTAATGGTACACCTTTATTAGAAAATTTGAGTTGATATTGTGATTGGAAAGAGTTTCAGTTCGTTCACATCTCCTGTCAATTCATACTTGAAATCTTTCCCTTGTCGACCTCATAAATATATAGAAGATTTCAGGGATGTGTTGACCGGGTTGGAGGTCAGATTTAGACTTTTTGAAAGAATAATATTAGTTATGCATTTCTCGTAATGGTTCTCTAACAGAAGTGCCGATGTATATATAATTTTAGCGGGGCGGGATCACTTTGTATATACAAAAAATAAAATAAAATAAAAAAAAAAATTGCAGAACAAATATGGAAGTAAGAAATTGATTTCATAATTGCTGGCATAAACAATAAGGTGAAAGATTCAACCGTCATGAAGAAATTTAATCTCGAAAGAGACCAGACACAATGGCGGATTGCTAAGTCAAATTTAGATATGAAATTGAAAGAAACGAAACGGTTATCAAAAACAAAACATGTTTAATAAGATCAGGTTACTGTATCATCAAAGTCTAGATAGAAATCGATAACAGACTCGATGTATTGTGTTAGAGTGAAAAATGATACAGAGAATATGAATAACAAATTTGATGACAGCAATTAAGGAAACAACGGACGTTATAAGACACAACAAAGGTAAATATTGAAACTAAACAGCAGAAGTTATGAAAAAAAAAGAAGAGAAATATTACCGTAAATAGTAAGAAAACAAAACCGAAAAAGCAGTAATCAGCAAATTATGAAAAAAAAAAAAAAGAAAAAAAGGAAGGAAATTTGGGTTTGATTTCGGTCATCTCTAAGCTACGCTTAAAAAAATCACCATATCAGAACACGTGGAGTAATCTAATATCAAATTTTACCGATTATAGTTGAGTCTCTAATTAAACATTGATCAGTTTATACTTGGGTCACATATTCCTCGGAATTGTACTTGAGACAAGGCGTAAACATTAATTAGATTCGGTTGATAGATTTTACAACATATCAACCCTCATTCAGTTATTTAAACTTGAAATCTAGTTTCTATTGCACCCGAGTCTATAGGTAAACATTGGTCGTTGACTATACAGGCAAATATTAATTGAGTTTATACTTGAGTATATAGATACAAATTAATCGAGTTTATACATAAGTCAATAAGAACATGATGACCGGGTTTATACTTGAAGCAATATGCACACTTTAGAAAACTTTGTACTTGTGACTTTTGGTAAAAATGATTTAATTATATATTTCAGTCTATCGACACAAATCGTCGGGTTTATATTTGAGTCTATAGATCAAGCGTTGAGCCGTTTTATGCTTAACTCTATAGACAAAGTTTGGTCGGGCTTAACATTTAGTTTTCCATTATGCATCCAGAAATTTTGAAATGCCGCAGCCTATATAGATAAACAAAAATGAAAATGGGAAAGCTATCAAGGAAGGCTTTTAAAATAAATATTCATTCTGGCAGATAGTAATGATCGCCGATGGTAATGGCAGTGGTAATATTGGCTGTTTCCTTATGAGGACATCAGGCGATGATCAAAGCGTAATATCTGTCATTTGGAAGAGAAACTATATTTTATCTGTTTCTGCTTCTTCGGGAAGAACACAACAATTAAATGAAAGATGCTTTGTCCCAGCGATTCCAAACGTGCGGCAGGAAATCCCCCATTGCAACAAAGAGGGAGGTTCGGTGGATCATCGGCGACAGCGCAGTGTTGATTGCTGGCACTAGGCAATTTTTGATCTTGGCCCATGTGCACGCGTTCGGGTTCTCAAATTTAAACCGGCATAAACCACTAATTTTTGTTTTTCGAAATATTCACCTTCCTCGTTGAACCTAGATACCAGGTGAAGATGAACCACATAGTTAGCATTATACAGTGAAATTTTTTAAATTGAAGTTCATCTAGTAACTACATACCGGACTACGGAGTTATTGACTATCCTCAAGTACGTACAGTCGCTTAGTGTCAAGCACGGTCGTCTTGTAAACCAATTCGTTAGTTCAAGTTTCAATCTTCTTTTATGTGCCTTCAGGACGTAGGTGATCATGGTCCTCCACATCATCATGACCCTTGTAGCTCTTAACAAATTTTGTCTTTTTCTTATTTCTTCCAAACCCTATTCTACTCTCTATTTACTTAAGCTCATCAAGTATGTTACACGCTGCTTTCCTTTTCCTCTTTCTCTCAATCTGTCCTGTGAGTAACAGATTTTCCAAGCCCCCCTTCCTCATTATGTGCCCTGGAAATTTCATTTACTTCTTCCTGACGTTAAGTATGGGTTTCCTTTTTGTTCCCATTTTCTCTGAAACTTCAACGTTGCTCACATGACAGTCCATGGTATCTTTCTGTAGAACCACATTTCTGTTGCTTCTTCACCTTTAAGGAGATTGTCCAACATTCGCTGCCACACAGGAGGACAGATATCACGTAACAGTTCAATACGCTTTTCTTTGTTTCTAACGAAATTTTCCTCTATCTTAATACTCTGCTTAGCTTTTGAAATGTATCATTGACCATGTCAATACGTTTTCAGATCTCACTCTGTCATTTTCGCACTTTCCAGCCTATGTTAGAATACTTTCCAGATGTGCCAAATCTTTGGCCTTGTGCCAGACTAATCTACGTGTCATAACTAATAAATGTATTTTAAGACTCTGAAAATTACATATCATTATATAATAATAATAGTAATAATAATAATGAACTCTCCCGTTGGTTTTGGCGTATGAGGATCTGACAGCTTATTGATTCAGTTATAAAAGTTTGTGCGATAATCTTAAGTGGCATTTAAGACCCGCTAGTGATTTACAAAGGAGGCCACATATGGAGCAAGTGTAAGGATTGTGAGATAAGATCACTTTTAGGTTGGCTGACCTTTTAGATCTTGCTCTCGCTTCTTGAAGATGATTCAGACAAGCAGATTGAAAATTGCTAAGTACACTAAAACAGGTTGATCTCCATTCTAGCCTCTCCAAGACTAAGCACTCAAGGGTTATATATATATATATATATATATATGTATGTATCTATGTATGGAGAAATGGATAGCGGCTCGCATTGAGGAATCGAAGAGCCGAGTTCGAATTCCAGTCAAATCCGTTGCATTCACGTACGTGCTAATAACCTTGGGAAAGGTATGCGTCCTCTTCTTTGCCTCGGATGGCAACTGGTGTAGGAGAAGGACAACTCTGAATTCAAAACCTTGTGGACCTTGTGGCACACGGTGCACCATGTCTCTGTATTCGGCTCTTCAAAATGCATGGTTGGTTCAGCACAAAACCTTCACCACTCTAATCAAATCATATGTGCTGGTTGTCTGTCTGTCGGTTCATAGGGACTGAGTTGCCTCACCCCCATACGTCCTAAAAAGGAATTCCCGGTAAGCGATGGGAGAGCCCATAATATATATATATATATATATATATATATATATATATATATATATATATGTGTGTGTGTGTGTGTCTGATTGAATAAATTACAGACTGCTAATTTTTTAACAAAATCCGTTCATACTCACGAATAACCCTCTGTGTATTGATGTTTAAGGATGAGAGAAATGTGCTATAGCTGTTTAAATCTCTTTTATTTTCATTTCCCAAGTACTTTCGATCTTTTTCCAAGATCATCTTCAGGGGTGCAAATAGTACAAAACTATATGTTGTTCATTAGTATAAGTATTTATACAGAATTGTGCGTTGTTATCCATTACCGTAATTTTCATTATGCTTTTAAATGCAAAACGTTTGACAATGTGCTGAACGTTCACTAGAGCAAGAAAAAATTATCCATTATGGAATTTTTTTGTTCTCTATGTTATAATGTCATGGTCACGCGTGCATTAAAGCATGAAAAAACTGTTCCTTTACAGGCATTTCAGAACATTACTGCAGTATTCATAGTTGATTCTGTTCAGTGCCGGCTTTAAGTTTTTGAAAAAATATAAATTGCTTCTAGTATCTGTAATCTAAATTGGTTGTTTTCATAGTGTAGGATAGGTGTGTTGTCGATTAGTAATCAACTATGAATACTGCAGTAATCTTCTGAAATATATACTAATGAACAACATATAGTTTTGTACTACTTGCACCCCTGAAGATGATTTGGAAGAATATCGAAAGTACTTGGGAAATGAAAATAAAAGAAATTTAAACAGCTATAGCACATTAGTCTCATCCTTTAACATCAATATACGGAAGGTTATTTGTGAGTATGAACGGATTTTATTAAAAATTAGCAGACATTTATTTAATCAGCCATGCCTAAAAAAAGAATTTGCTACCTAAATACCACACACACACACACACACACACACACACACACACACATATAATATATATATATATAATCATGAGAGAGAGAGAGAGAGAGAAAGTGGGGAAAGCTAAAGTTGTTAAAGATTTTGTACCCTTCGGCTTATTGCGATTCTTGCAGATACTGAACTGAATTCTTTGAGGGGAAGCAAATATTTTTTCCGTCTAAAATCATAACTTTCTTATTGCTTCAGGCGCAATTTTATTTACAAGTGTCACTGATTCAGCATTGCAGGTGAAACATCGGACCTAGTGACATGCAAACCAATGGTTGGCCGTTGAAGTTTACTTGAAAATTCAACATTATCGAAAATATCTGAGAGGAAGTTAAAAAATAAATAAGTACAAACAAGTATATATTGAAGAAGAGTTCAAGTCGGGGAAAAAAGAAGTCGTAATTCAGAAACCTGCGCAAACGACACTTATTCAAATAACATATAAAACGGAGAAGAAACACAAACAAATTAAAAAATATTCCCAACCCCATGATTTGCAAAATTTATAAGTAAACTTTAAGTTCTATTCCGGCCTTTATTAATGTTTGATTGATTAGTTTTTTATGGTTTATCAACCCTTTGCAGGTTATTTAAACAAGAAAACATTTTCATGGATTATAGAATATAGATATAGATATTATAGATATTATATAGATGTAAGCAATCTGGGATTGCAAAGGAAATATTTGTCGCAGATTACTTCCACAACGCAGAGAATAAATCACTAAGTGTTGTGGGGATCTCCCCTTTTTACATAAGATGGACTCGTCCAAAGTATACTTATACTGACAGAGAGAATACCTGCTATTGAGCTACGTCGAGATGCAGTCTCGACGTCTGTCGAACTCTCTGCTTTGTCAGAGAGGAAACCGGACGAAGCTTTGCCGAAAGGCAAGGTTTCGTCCGGGGAGGTAGAAAAGCCCTGAACCCGTCTAGGCGGGTTCAAAGGATATATTTTTGGCCGAGCCTACGGGCTCGGAGAAACCCCACTTTAAACTCGGCCTTGTGCCACATATATTCCTCGTGGATGGGATATTAAATACAGAGATACGTTGAGAGATACGGAGACAGACACAGGGTGTTCTGAGAGAGAGAGAGAGAGAGAGAGAGAGAGAGAGAGAGAGAGAGAGAGAGAGAGAGAGAGAGAGAGAGAGAGAGAGATGATTACGGCTTTACTGACAGAGACTTGTACATATACTTTCTACTAACCCACATTCCTGGGCTACTAATCTTCACTTCAAGTCTGTATTCTTACGTTTAATACACTTATTTTTCTATCTCAATTTCTGGCGTTGTTTATTTATTTGTGCAGGATTCCATTCACGGAATCCACAACACTAAGTTCAGATTCGAACATCGGGGGTTGAAAGAAATGCCGAAAACTCGGTTCGCAGGTACTATCTCAAAAATCACAATGCACGCAACAGTTATAAAAATAACTCACTCTCCGATAAACGCGGTAGCCAAAATACCCAATTTTTTTTTCGATTCGAGAACGCATAACTGCTTTTATCCGCCGAGCATTTTTTCCATTCGTCGACAACTGGGAGAGGACGCTCAATTTTTGCATATCAAAATACTTTTATAGAAACTCCTGCGACAGAATTGTTTTTTTAATTTACATATACCGTCTTCAGCATGTCATGAGGAGTACTTGCCCTTTTTTTTAGTAAGTAATTTTCTTTTTCGCTTCATTTTCCGTCGTAGAATACACGCGACGCGCTGTCGCTTGGTTTGACGAGGTAAGTAACTCTTTTCTTCGCGATAATAGATTATAAGTATTATTTCTTAGAGATAATAATGGTTTAAAATACAAGTCTTAATAAATAGCCCCTTGAGCCCTGGCTACCGCTTTACTGGTGGTAGAGAAAAATAACGTAATACCCTGCCATCAGTTGAACAGTAGTAAAGAAAAAGGACTTAATGCCCAGCCACCGGTTGAACGGTGGTAAACACTTGTAACTATTTTTTATACCTACCGTGAGTCATTACATACCAGTTATTAGGAGAACTGGTAGAACGGTTAAAATTGTTCAGGAACGCAGAACTCAAAGGGTTAACCAATGGTTGCGGGGAAACGAAGTAGATTCATACCTCTCCGAAGGGCATTTGTTCATAAGTGCATATAACCAACCCAACAGGAATTGGAACCAGCTTCTCTGATTAAAAACTCCGAGCCATTATCCATTACACCACCCGCACATCCAAGCTTACAGCACTTGATATTCCCAAGCGGTCACCCATCTAGGTACTGACCAGTTTCGACATTGATTAACTTCGGTGATCGTAAGGGAACCAATGTTTCAACGTGATAAGGCCGTAAGCTGCCATAACATCACGCGTACGTAGATCAGTCGTTGCCACAAGATTTGGTGCACTTAGAACTGTGTCAAATTTAATGAAGATCTGATTCTTCCCCCAAAACACAATGGCATTAGGTTTTTTGTGAGGATACGGGAAAAGATTTAATAGATTCGCGGAAACTTGTTCTCATTCAATCTCCAGCTGTAAAAACGAGACTGATTAATTGAAATTGAAGGACACGCTCAAAGGCAAATGCTCTATTTATTGATTTTAATTTGACGTGATATTTCTGGCTCAAGTCCTTTTGGCTTTGTTATTGATTTTTAATGATCATACAATAACACATGGCCTTGTACTAGATTAGGCTGTTGCTCAGGACGGCCGCAGATTTTGCAACCCTTCAAAACAACATTCTCAAACTGGACAACATGTTAATTCATAATACTAATTCCCTCTGATGCATCCTAGGACGGACTGACCCGTACGTGAAGCGTCTCGAGCTCCGCCGATGTCAGAGATTAAATAACACTAATTAATAAGTGAAATTATGATTCGCTTGTATCTTCTCAAAATTTCTATACATTTTGATTGCAACAAAACGAAGTCACCCAAAACAAGGCACAGGAAAGCCGTTAAAAGAAGGCACCAAAAGGAGGTACCAAAATGTTACCAAAAGAAGGCACCAAAAAGAATGCACCAAAAAACACCAATAGAATGCACCAGTAAAAGGCACCAAAAAGAATGCACCGAAAGAAAGCACTAACAAGAAGTCAAAAAAACGCACCAAAAAAGTAACAAAAAGGGAAAAAAGACATAAAAATTCACCAAAAAAGTCCTGAAAAGCTGAAAAAGAAAGTGCCAAACATGGTACCAAAAGAAGGCACCAAAGAGAAGGCATAAATAAGGCACCAAAAAGAAAACACAAAGGACGGCACTAAAAAAGAGCGCCAAAAAGAAAGCACGAAAAACAGGCACCAAAAATAGGCAACAAAATGAAGACACCAAAAAGAAAGCCCCAAGAAAGGCTCCAAAAAAATGCATAAAAAGAAGGCACCAAAAAGAAGGCACCAAAAGAATGCACCAAAAAGAAGGCACCAAAAAGAAGGCACCAAGAAAGGCAACAAAATGAAGGCACCAAAAAGAAGGCACCAACAAGAAGGCACTAAAAGAAGATACCAAAAGAAGCTACCAAAAGAAGGCACCAAAAATGGCAACAAAAAGAATGCACCAAAAAGAAGGCACCAAGAAAGGCCCCTATAGAAGGTACCAAAAAGAAGGCAACAAAAGAAGACACCAAAAGAAGGCAACAAAAATAAGGCACCAAAAAGAAGGCACCAACAAGAAGGCACTAAAAGAAGACACCAAAAGAAGCTACCAAAAGAAGCTACCAAAAGAAGGCACCAAAAATGGCACCAAAAAGAAGGCACCAAGAAAGGCCCCCATAGAAGGCATCAAAAAGAAGGCAACAAAAGAAGACACCAAAAGAAGGCAACAAAAATAAGGTACCAAAAAGAATTCGCTTGAATTTCGGTTGAAAGATTTCAAGTGCGTCACAAACAACTGCTGGAATTGCTTGTTATCCTTGATATATATAAGAGAAGGACATTCGAATAACCCAGAACATCTACTGGCAGCAAACCGGGTGCATAGAAACAGGAAATAAAGTTTGTAAATATACAAAAAAAAAAAAGTGGTGGGAGACAACATGAAACGTCTCACCTGATCTTTTCAATCTATAATATAATTCTGAAAGAATTAGAAGTTCTACCAGGATTTATTATTGGCGGCCACAATCTCAACAACATAAGATATGCAGATGACATATTGTTTATAGCAGACACGGAAATAAAAAAGTCCTACAGAAGGTTCGTGAATGAAAGCGACAAGAGAAGACTAAGCATCAATTACAAAACTGACTGCATGGTTGTTAGGGAAAATAATAGACCAACACGCAAATTACATATTGGAGATACCAAAATCAAATAGGTGGAACAATATCTGGGAAGCGTATTAACAGATGACGAAAAGTGCAACACGAAGATCGGAAGGTGCACTGAAATAACGAAAAATTGCTTCCAAAAGCTGAGAAAACTCTTAAGAAACAGAAAACATGTTAAAAACAAAGAAAAGAGTATTGAACTGTTATTGAGTATCAGTCCTCCTATATGGCAGGGAAGAACAGATTTGAAGCAACAGAAATCGGGTTCTACAGAAGGATGCTGTGAATACCATGGACCGAAGACGTGAACAACGACGAGGTTCTAGAGACAGCGACAACAAAAGAGACAATTATACTTAACATCAGCAAAGTACAGTTGACATTTAAGGAAACCGTAATGAGGAAAGTTTGATACTCAAAAATTGAATGCAAGAGTGACAAAGGAAAGAAAGCAACGTACAATCTATCTGGCAAACTCGAATAAATAATTGGCGGAACAGGGTTTGGCATGGGTGGAAAAAAGACAAAAGTAATTAAGAGCTACAGAAAATAGTAAACAGTGGAGAGCCACGATCGCGAACGTCTTGAAGAGACACAGGAGATAGAAGAAAATGTAGTAGTAGTAGTAGTAGTAGTAGTAGTAGAAGAAAGAAGAAGAAGAAGAAGATGCGTCCAATGTGGATACATACTTGAACCGTAACTAACTTCTGCTCAACGTAGTTTCAAGATAAACTACAGTTGGGCTCTGTGGGTATTGAAGAAACGCAAATGGTTCTGAAAAGATGGCGATAGTTGGAAACGAGCAGTCATTCTCAAGATGAGTAGACATAGTAATTTGGTCTTTAAGTCGATACAGCTCTGATGATGGTGCTTGATTTTGACATCCCTATTTAACAGCTAACCGCCTTGGCTGTCTCTTTTACTGGCAGACATTTCTACTGTCTTAGTGTTAAAAGTCATTTATCCTTGCTTTTATTTCGTACTTTATCTAAGAAGCATTTTTTTTCAGTTTTTGTCTGAAGTTTCTTGTAACACAGTGTCATCCGCGTATCTTATGTTGTTAAAATTATAGCTGCAGATAATCAATCGTGGCTGTTCTAGTTTTTTAGAGTAGGTTCGGTGTATATGTTAAATAAATCTGATGAGAAAATTTACAAGAGATGACTACTATAAATCCATATCATAAAAGAAGAGCTGATTGTCTGTCCGTCACACACTGTAGTCAACAAATCGATTTAATGTACACAGGCACAAACCCGTACACACAGACAGGGTATGAAATATGGTTAACATAATACATTCTTCTCTCATTCAGTTTGGACAACCTCTAATCTGGGCGGGACAATAAAATAAAAGTTGGAGAAAAAAAAATGATGCTTATAGGATTTTGCTTTTACTTTTCGGGAATTATTTGATAATAATAGAAAAAATTATTATTTTTCATTTAAAAAATATGCAAAAATATTTTTTTAGGTCTGTCATTGACTTAAACATACACGCACTTACACAATTCAAATGTAACTGTAATGAACATCCCAGTCACAAGGAGTAATTTCCTTCTCTGTGTAGCAACAACCCTTGTATAAGAGTAAAAAAAAGTCATAATTTTTATAACTAATAGGAAAGCATATGGCTGTGAAACGTGGACACTGTTGGCAGAAACAGAGAGACGGATCCAAGCGTTTGAGAACAAATGCATAAGAAACTCCTTGGCATCTGCTATTGGGAACATAAAACTAATGAGTTTGTACGGAAAAGGGTTGAATGTTTTGTGGGACACCAAAAACATCTTCTCGTCACTGTCAAACGGAGAAAAATGGCGTGGTTTATACGCGTTACAAGGCACGACAGCCTGTGCAAGACCATCATGCAAGACACCGTTGAAGGTGGACGTCGGAGAAGACGCCAACGGAAAAACTGGTTGGACAATGTCAAACAATGAACTAGTATAATACTAGAATTTCCGATGGCAATAGACCATTGTGGAAGAGATTCAGTGTGGCTTTTGTATTGAGACCCCCTCCCCCACTACGATTACAAAAGTCAAGGGGATGATGATGATTTTCTAATAAATGTAGTATTTTCAATAGTCAAACAATTTAGAATTGCTGAGCCGTCAGTAAATCTTCATGCGCCGAATTCGTAATTAGGAAAACGAGAATTTTGATGTCTTGAACAGACCTACTGCCACTTGATCCTCAAAGAAAGCTGCAAGATTCCACTGTCGTAAAAACAAAACGTGTACAAAGTAACACTAATAAGGGGAATTGCAAGGAACAATTGAAAAGGAATTTGGCACAAAACAAGGAACGTTGAAAAAGAGGAAAAAGAAGACAAGATGCGTAGAAGAGTGAGTGAAAGAGTACAGAACTTAGTGGAAGTTCTACCGTCACTACTGACCCGCGTAAATCGAATTCGGCAAAAATATCTCACACTCTAGGCGTCAGACCTTATTTTTAGTGTACCTACCAAAAGCCGGAGGAGTCAAATCAGATCACTCTGCCATAATCTGACCAAAGATTAGCAATCTGACCTTTTTTTGTACTATCTTTCTTTCTTTTTCTTTCTTTCTGATATTTTGTTTATATATTTTTTCTTCGGAAACTTTGCTCGGTTGATTTTAGTGCTTTTAGCCTTCCCGCTTTAGAACTGAAAAAAAAAATGTAATCGCTGGTAAGGTCGTCTCCTACTAAGACACAGTACACGTAGGGAAACAGATATACGTGCTCCATTCACATATAGGTTCTAGATATAATTTGATACTGTATTATATATGTGCATATAACACGTTCAAGTTTCTCTCTCTCTCTCTCTCTCGCTATCTATCTATCTATCTATCTATATATTAAGACATTTTATGTTTATACATTCTTTTTATAGATACAAATATTTAAGTAAATGCTCTGTTTATAATAAACTGTATTAAACTGAATGTCCGAGAAATTTTCATAGAAAATATTCGAACCTGTATCCTAGACGAAACCGTCATATAGTATGACGTGCCTTTTAACCGATTCGGCCATAGGCGATCGTTCTGTTAGTAAGGTCGAATTAACTGGTTTTAAACTTCAATCATCCATGAATCTCTCACGTACATTCAGATCTCCTCATGGCGTATCAAATGTAAACAAATGAGGTCACACATTATGAAACGGACAAAGACCGAAAATTATTTTAAGACATTTTTATGTTTAACATTCTTTTTATAGATACAAGTATTTAAGTAAATGCTCTGTTTATAATAAACAGTATTAAACAACATTTACCGGCCTGAATGTCCGAGAAATTTTCACAGAAAATATTCGTCCTCCGAATAAATTCAGGCCGGTAAATGTTGTTTAATACTGTTTATTGTAAACAGAGCATTTACTTAAATATTTGTATCTATAAAAAGAATGTATAAACATAAAATGTCTTAAAAGAATTGTCGGACTTTTCCATTTCCTATATATATATATATATATATATATATGTGTGTGTGTGTTTGTGTGTGTATATACATGTGTGTGTGTGTGTGCATGTGTCTGTGTGTGTGCGTGTGTGTTTGTGAATATAAATTTATCATTTATCATATATATAGCGCTTTTGTTAATAAAACATAGCTTGATGTAATATAACAGTGCTATTAAGTGTATATTAATAAATATACATATTATCCCTCACCAGCAGCACGACTCAGAGTTTCATGCACAACGCAATCTTCAGGTGATTGGCATAGGCTAAACACAAAAGTAATTTAAATTTCAAGAAAAATATTTGGTTAACATAATGTTGGCGCTGTCCATATATTATACGGGTAATTTCTTTTTTTTTATTTGATATATATATATATATATATATATATTCATGAATTATTCACACAAAAAACAAATGCAAATGTTAATGATTTAATTGGCGTGAAATCCATCATTGCAAACAATTCAAATAATATACAAAAACCTCCGAATCCGTTATGAATGAAAAGATCCTTGTTTCTATAAATTTCTGCCGTATTAGTTCTTATTTTACTACAAGCTTTCGTCTGTTCCTACAGACATCTTCAGGTATGGAATAGATGTTGTTCTTGTTTTTTCTCTTAGTAATAAGAGGACAACGAAAATATATGTATTGTTGTATCCGAAAATGCTATTGGAAATGAGTTATTGTTTTTGGAGCGTGCAATAGCAACGCTGAGTTTGATTTTAAATTTTTTACAGTTGTGCGTTCATGTACAAATATGGTGATAAACGAATTTTTTACTGGTAAATTTTCTGTCAAAGTGGCATGAACTATATTGTTCAATAATTACAGTAATGTCACACTTATTATCCAAAAGTCGCACTTGGATCAGTTATTTTAATTTCGATAAACGTGCAATCAATTTACAAATTCATGAATTATTCACACAAAAAACAAATGCAAAGGTTAATGATTTAATTGGCGAGAAATCCATCATCGCAAACAATTCAAATAATATACAAAAACCTCCGAATCCGTTATGAATGAAAAGATACTTGTTTCTATAAATTTCTGC